GGTGACCTTCCTCTTTTCTCCTCTGTGGGGAGAGGGAGGCTTGAGCGTACGGCTAGGCTCGTATCGAATCACTACCGGTCTAATCTCGCTCAACACAAATTACTTACGATATGGATCACATTATGCCGGTAAGCTATTCTCATCGCACAAGATTTTTCACCAGGATACCGTAATGCACTAATGATTCTCGGCACTCTCCTATTATAGTACCGTATGATACCAGTATCATACTTGAGTATAACGTTATGTAAGGCCGGGTCCGAGAATGAGGGAGGAGCTGGGGAAGCGCAGTGAAGGTTTGGTGAAACGCTGAGGGCCAGTTTGGGAGGCGGTTAGACCCGGAGTTTGAGAGGAGAAACCGGCAGCCGGTACCGGTACGTACTCGAGTACTCGTGCAGTACAGTATCATAGTTTCAACCGATCCTGCCGCCCCGCAAACCCGGCCAGAGTCCGGCACGACAACAAACCATGACCACTGGAAGAACCAAAGACCCATTTGTAGGGTCGTCAAACCCCGTGCTTGAAACTCTACCCCCGGAGGCAAAATTTGGGAACCTCGCCTTACGGTACTTGGACCCAACCACAGACCCCGTTGCTTCCAGGGTAGTCGGACGAGCCACTACTGGTATGATAGCTCGATTCCTTCCACAACTTGCCCTCTCATTTGGCGCGACAAGGGGAAAACCGTAGCCACTTAACCCATGGTCTTATTGCCCTAATACACTTGAATAGGCCCTTAGCAAACTTTGTGGTTCCCGTTCAAGCCGTAGCTAAATTACCGGCCAACCTGGTGGGAGAAATTCCCCTAAGGCTCGCCGTGCCCCCCGACAGCCACCAAAGCAAGAAAAAAAAAGGGGGAGGCGTGTGTGGTGGGAAGGGGGGGGGGGTCGCGCAACCAGGGCATCGACTGGTAGACTACCGTATGCGGAGATTATCATACTTATAGGATACGTTTAACGGATCCTCCATTTTTTGGATGTCCTTTTGGATCTTATTGCGCATCTTAAGTCTCAAAATTTCTTGCTCCCTTCTCACCTGTTCCATGCACCTCCTCTCCCAACCAAGCCTCACAATGGGCCCTTCGTTGGGTTCGTTAGGTCCGGTCATGGGTACCTGTCCCCTGAGCCGGGCAAACTTTGGGCTGTCTTCAGAGGTGTTCTTCGTTGGATCGGGTCGGGTTCAGTTGGGAATCGGGGGTTGAACAACCTAACACTGACCCAACCCAAAGAAGAGAGACCCGCGACAGGACACAATAAACCTAATCGAGGACCCATTTCTCGAGTAGAAGGATTGCTCCCACTCCAGGAGTTCTCGGCTTCGCTGCTCCAGTCGATCCTCGAGTTTCGCGTCGTAGTACAGCAGGCTGAGGAGGAGGACCTGCAGGTGTTTCAACAGAAAGGAGTCAAGGGAGGAATGAATTTCTCTGAAACATATTGTCCTAAAAATGTAAAATCCCATGATCCAACGTAATCAGCATGATGTCTCCAGTGGACTGCTTTCGCAGTTCCTTAAACCGGGAAAATCCCTTCTTTGCTGCGTCGTTGTGCCCGAGTACTCGTAGTCTACACTTGACCTACGGTAGTGTTCGCCGGCTGGTTAAAAATTAGTTTGACCTTTTTAGGGCAGCGGTTGAATAGGGTCATAAACCTGCCCAACCGTCTGCAGCCTGCGCAGATCACTCATATACCCGACTGGCCTGGGCAACTCCACTGGCATCGCCCTCCCCAAACTTTTAATGGGTTTGGGAGTGTGTATCATACCAAGGCTTGCTCGGTATACCCTTGGCGGAGGGGTATGGATTGACGAAGGTGGACGGAGAGCACGAAAGAATGGAGCCGCACAAGTGCGATAATGATACCGGTAGACTCGATATCAAATGGGGTGAGGAAGGATGGAGAGAGAGTAATGGGCGGTCGATTGTCGGTGATCCTCCGCACCTGCTAGCTAAGGACAGAACGGGAGATAAATATCTCCAAACCAACAACTCTGGAACCCAAGGAGAGGCGCCACGAACACAATGTTTTTGTGTTATTTTTGCGGGTTTTATGAGGGGTTTTTTTTTGCTAGCTATATTCCGGATCGGCGCTGATAGGATAATAAATTATATTGATAAAAGAACTACACCATCCTGACAGACCATGATCCCTCGTGCTCCACAGCAATTCAGAACTCCATTGAGTCTCCAACAAAGAACCATATGCCTAGGAGCATAAGGCGTGAAAGAAGCCCCTACCCATGTCCGTTGCCCTATGGCAACGGGTAACAACACTAACGGGAGACCTGAGCCCTATAAGCGCAAAACATCTATCCACCAACTACCGTAGACTATGGTGCCATGCATCTAAAAGGTGCACCTGGCCCGTTGCAACATGTTCGTAATGCTCAACCCTGTGAGGAATTAACCGTGCCAAGGTTGTGGCTCCGCCACAATCCTCGATTGCGCACAATCTTGGGCACCTCTACGAGGTGCCCTAACTTACAGCTCAACGCAAGATTCGGCTCAACGCAAGATTTTTTTTGTATGTGAATTTAACAATTTCAAACCACTACCAAACATTCTGTGGTGCTTTAAATTTCCCTTTGGCTTCCTCACACATTATTTTAAGTCTTTGCAAATAAGTCTTCCATTTTTTTCCTCTCTTTTATAACTTTTATTTTCGCGTGGTGGGAGTTTGGTTTGGAT